CCACCACCACACACACACACACACACACACACACACACACACACACACACACACACACACACACACACACACACACATCTCCTCTTGACAGGACCTGCAAGCGCAGGTGGATGAGTTGAAGCGGCTGGTTGTTGCGCCGCCGGCAGGACAATCACCACATCAGGCCCAGCAACCAGGAAAGCAGCTTGCCGCTTCCCAGAAAGGTGAGCAAAGTCGCCAGCACGGGTGCATGAGTGAGTGAGCAGAGGAGCTGGGAGGAGTGGGGAGGAGTGCAAAGGACTCACTTTGCCTGTGAGCGAGCGTCTGGTTCGTGGCACACGGAAACTTGCTGGCTGATGCGTCTGACGAGATGTGACGAGCATTCGCGAATTGGACGAGCTGTGCGATTTGCGACTTGTTGGGCTGACTCGCCATTTGTTTTCCCCTTGCATGGCTAGGTCGAAGAGCAGTTTCTTCGTTTTGCAATTTATCGTGATTGTGCAACGTGCACAGATATCAAACGTTTGGGCCTGCAGGACGGCAGTGTGCGTTCCTGATTGGTTGGTCACGCCACTTCCCAGTGGCACTGCACGCCAGAGCAGTCACATCTAGGCTTGTGTGTCGAATCTCGCGTGTTCGTGTACCACCTCGCTCGTTGTGTGTGTCGAATCTCGCGTGTTCGTGTACCACCTCGCTCGTTGTGTGTGTCGAATCTCGCGTGTTCGTGTACCACCTCGCTCGTTGTGTGTCGAATCTCGCGTGTTCATGGTCAGCCTCGCTGTGTGTTCCCTGGTCCTACCTGGTGCATCTGCGCTTCGCGATGTCTACCACACATTCGCCAGACCTACCACCGTGGCGGCTCGGTGGTGCTGTTCACGTGCCAATATCACAACACCAACAGCAACACCATCGTGCTGCTCGCGCTCCTTCAATAAACACAACAACAACAAAATTATTCGGTGTGAAGATTGCGCGATGCAGGTCTTCCCTTTCGTCAGGCGGTGCTGCGGCCGCACCGTCGCGATTTTGTCAAACGCGACCACTGCTCCTTGCACCATTCGCTACCATTCGCTACCATTCGCTACTGCCAACGCTTCGTCAACGCTACCTGCCTTTCATGCCATGATGAGCACGAAGCCAAGCATGCCATTTATTCCTTCGCCGCAACCAACACAACCACTGCCGCCACCCCCCAGCTCACTGCACCGCCGCTCAGTGCCCTTCACAGGTACAGATATCATCCACGCATACACATACCACTGGCCTTGCGTCTTTGCAGTTTCCCCATCCAACCATCCAGCACGCGCACATACCAGCACATGCTCCCGTGACCTTGTTCTCAGCAGCGTATTGTCATACCTCGCTTGGACAGACCCAGCAGATCACAACAAAAACACACGAGCGAGCTTGCTGTGGGCAGCATATTCACGCACAGACCACATCCACCCGTCACGTTGCCGTGCAGGTTCTTCTTCTCCAACATCTCCCACGGGCAGCACATCTCAACACCACGCCATCCTTGTGCTTAGCTCTTCCTGGGCAACGCGGAAGGAAGGCAGCTGAGCAACTACCAGCACCACCCCACAAGAGGTCAGCAGCACACGACGCGCCACCTCCCTCGAGACAGCCTCCATCTCCACCTCCACCATGAGTGGCAAGTCCAGGCTTGCGCCGCAAGGCTCTTTCGCCAGGCTGATGCACCGCCAAGCGCACTCGCGGAGCTCCCCCGTGGACCAGCAGAGCGCATATGCGTCGCAGCAGTGCAGCAGCAACAGCAGCAGGACCCAGAGCCCACGCCCACACGGGCTCTCCTCTCGCCTGGTGCACCAGTTCCTGCGCGTCAACAAGAAGAAGGCCTCCAAGTATGCCAACCAGCACAACCTGCGCCGCCGCGCGCGCACAGACACCATCGCCATCATCATCACCCTCAAGTACCTCATGCGCGACAGCCAGCCCAAAGCACACGCAAAGGGCAAGGCAACGTAAGAGTCTTCCCTTGACTTGCAAGTGACTTAGCAAGTCATTACCGCTGACTTTGTGCGGGAATCTGCTGAGTTTGTGCATTGTTGTATGTACGCTCTGATACTCACCTTCAGCTTACACACCCACATGCACACCCACATGCACACCAACATACACATGCGCACACATACACACACATGTTCACACATACATCACATACAGCTCGTTCTCGTCCAAGACGCTGCTCAAGCTTCTGGCACAGCTGGACATGGATGAGGCGTTTGCCCTGCGCTTTGCCCGCGCCCTCGCCACCTGCGGTGCGTGAGTCATCGTGTGCAGGTGCTGCATTTCTTGTGTCACACCAAACACGTGGGCAAGGATTGCTCCAACACCACAAACCCAAAACCACCCACCTGTGCGCCCACGCCCACCAATGCTTGCTCACATTCGCCCATGCTTTCTTGCTCTATTCACATTGCAGGTGTCATCCTTCCTTCGGAGTCGGGTGCATGCACCACCGAATTTGACAACTCCAAGAAGCAGTTGTGGGTGTGGGGCCAATGGGTCGCCATCGCAGAGATTGGCGGTGAGCACAACTTGCTCGTGTGTGTCTATGTGTGTGTGTGTGTGTGTCTATGTGTGTGCGTACGTGTGTGTGTGTGCGCGTGTGTGTGTGTGTGTGTGCGCGTGTGTGTGTGTCTGTGTGTGTGTGTGTCTGTGTGTGTGTGTGTCTGTGTGTGTGTGTGTGTGTGTTTGTGTGCGTGTGTGTGTGTGTGTGTGTGTCTGTGTGCCCACATGCATGTTGTGCCTGTGCATGTGCGTGCGTGTATGCTTATCTGCCACCTCTCCTGACCCGTGCTACATCCTGGTGCCCATGCCCCCGCTGCCTCCAAACAAGTATGGCCACCCTTCACTCACCAATGCCTCCCTCTCCCTGTCTCCAACCAACAAACCAACACCACAACTGCTGCAGCTGTGAGCGCCTGCGCTGCAGAGATTTGCGAGGGCACCATCCTCGGTGACATTGAGCTGTGCATCCAATACCCGAACATCAACGTGGAACACGAGGACTTCTGCCTCTTCTTCCCCATCGACCAGCTGGAAGATGTCGCCATCACGGGCAGGCAGCTGACCTTCACCCTGGACAACCAGCTCAAACCCCTGCACCACGCCCGCTGGGTCTTTGAGCTCTGCGACAGCTTCCAGTTCCTCGAGACCCTGCAAAACCTTCTGCGCTACTGGTCCCAGATCCAGATGCTGGAGCAGCTGTTGGCAGAGTGCGACCAGCCCTTGCTTGTGCGCCCAGCGAGCCCTGCCACCAGCAGCAGAGCAAGCAGCCGCGCCGGCAGCCAATTCCTCAACACCGCCACCCTCTGGCGCACAGCCTCCACCGCCGGCCCAGCGCCACAGCAGCAACAGCCAGCAGCAGCAGCCGCGAACATGCACCAACAGCAACAGCAGCAGCAGCAGCAGCACCAACTGCAGTATCTGACCGTTGTTGATGCTGTGGTGGACGATGACGACTATGACGACGACGACGACGAGCAGGTGCGTCACGGCGAAGAGGAAGAAGAGGGAGCCATCACCTCCGCCAACGGCAATTCCGCACGGGAGAGCCCATGCATCGTTGTCAAGCCAGCAACGCCCACGAGCTGCAACGATAACACCACCACCGCCGCCGCCAGCACAGCAACAGCTGCTGCCACCAGCATCAGTGTACCTGCGTCGCCAACGCCGCAGCGCCGCCGCGTCACCAGCAGCAGCGCGTCTCCGCAGGCAGAGACGTCACCGTCATCGCCTCTCGCGCGCGAGCAGCAGATGGATGTTCAGGGCGGTAGGACTAGCAAAGGGCCGCGTCAAAGCAGGTGCACCAGCGGCATCGCTTCCCCATATGCGTCCACGGAGATGATGACGATCAACGACATGGACGCGCCAAGTGCGTCAGCCGCACGCAGGTCACCAAAGGCAAGCGTCAACATGTGCGCTTCGGAGTACTCTGCATTTGGCAGCGCTCGCTCGTCCGTGTGCTCTTCCGCCCGCTCCAGCATCGTCAACCTGCCAGATCACCACCACGTCCACCAGCCCTACGGCACGCAGCCGCACTCCCACTTCCCGCGCCATTCCTCCTTTTCCCGCGGCGACCGCCGATCGGCGTCTCTCCGGGGCACCGTCCACCACTTCTCCTCGCACAGCCGCAGCGGCTCGCTCATGGATCTCACCCGCAGCTCCAGCCCGCCCACGCCGCGCAAGTCGTCCCTCCGCTGCTCAGATGGGCCCAGTCGCCGCCGGCGTCGGGGCTACACCCTGTCCAGCTACGCCTCTGCATCGTCCACGGCAGCCATGATGTCACAAGGGGGACACGGACATGGACAGGAGCACATCTACGAGGAGCTGCACAACTGCACCGGCAGCCCGCACAACACGCCACCAGGCATTGTGGCCACGCAGTCCCCGCCAGGGGTCGTTGCGCGCCCCGATGCCACCGTCGGCTGCGGCGCATATGCGAGCGCAGACCGACCCCCCTCCCGCTCCCGCGACAGACTCAGCTTCGACGCCGCCTCCAGCACGGGTGTGCCAGTGGGCCTTGAGCGCGCATCTGTGGACGACCCCATTGCACGGGAGCGCTTCAAGTCTTGGCGCGTGCACGGAGACAAGCACCGCGGGTCATCGCAGCAGCTGTCACCGCAGCAGCTGCCATCTGTGGCCAGCAGCTCACGGCTGGTCCTGAACTGGGATGGCAACGACGACGATGACGACTGCACCACGTATGCGGCAGAGACACTGCCGGCAGTGAGCAACAACGGAAGCCGCTTGCCGAGCCGTAGCCCATCTGTGTATGGCCGCTCGCGCATGTCGAGTGTGAGCGACTGCGAGGGCATGATCCGTCACCACTTTGAAGTGTACCACGGCCAGCCATCACCATCGTCACCCACGTCGCCGCAGCAGCACCTCTATGAGCAGCGCAGGGGCGACGTCCCACCACCGCCGCCACCACGGCCCCTGCATCTCCAGCCAATTGGCTCGCACGCCAACGCGCACATCTACGACAACGCGCGACGGGTGTTCAACCGGCAGGAGCAGCAGCGGGAGCTTGAGGGCGTGACGGTGTCTGCCCCCATGAGCCGACAAGGGTCTCCACTGCGTGAGAACGACGAGGCGTTCCGTCGTAACAGGGGCAGCAGCACACCATCTCCGCTTTCGCCGGCCCTGAACCAACAGCTGAGCGACAGTATGGTGCGATCCGCGCAGTCGTTTGTGTTTGACGGTGTCGGCTCCCCAACTCCCTTGCCGTCCCCGCAGGCACTTGGCAACAACAACACCAGCATGTTCAACAACAACACCACATCGCCCACCTGCGACACCACAACGCCAGCCAAACAACGGCAGCGGTGCGAAGAAGAACACACATACGTCACGCTGGCCGAGCTGAACACGCAATCGGAGATGTCTGTTGTTTGATGGCATCTTCGCGTCGCTGCATGTGAGGAAGACAATGAGTTGGTTGACGTAAGCTGGTTGACATGAGTTGGTTGGCATGAGTTGGTTGGTTCCTTTCCTTCCTACTCCTTCCTACTCCTTCCTTCCTTTCTTCCTTCCTTGGTTCCTCGGCCTATCGCTTTCTTTCCTTTCTTTCATTTCGCAGATTCCGTGAATCCCATGATTTCAGTTTTACTTTCCTTCCCCCCCCTGCCTCCTCTTCCCCTCTTTTTCCGTTTAGTTGCCTGCGCATCGCCAGTCGCGCATAGAAAGCATACCATGCCTGTTTTGTACACTTTCCCCCACACTCACAACCATAAGACCCTTGTTGCTTGCTTCTGTTGAAATTGATTTTCATTGTCGCCCTTTATTTTTCTGTACACTCAACAACAACGACAGCAACGCTGCGTTCGCGTCGACGCGCTTAGTACACAGTCACGAAACAACAAAGAAAGGGGACCAAACAAACAGCAAGCAGAGGCAAAGGCGAAGAGGGGGGTTCAGTTGAGGGGTGGTGGGGGGGGGCAGAGGTGAAAGGCATATGCACACGCAGACTTGTGAGAATGAACCACACCCGTACATGCATGTGCAATTTCACATACAAACGCGCAAACACACACACACATGCACACACACACACACATGCACACATGCATACACACACACACACACACACACACACACACACACACACACACACACACACGGAAAGTGCTCTCAAGGGCGGACGGTATCTGGGGCCTGCGGGCGAATGGTGAACGTCTGTGGCGTTGCGTCAAGACGACGAGCCAGCCATTGCCGCTTGTCGTCCGCGTCAATCACTTGCACGTTGCGCGTTCTCGCCTGCTCAACCACCTCCATCATTGCCTGCGCCTCATCGCCGCACGCATCGAGTGGGCAGCACGCAAACGCAGACACACGCACGTCCACATCCTCGCCTGGCAAGGACGCGGCACAAGCACGATGCGAATGGGAGAAAGGTCGCTCGTGAGTGCAAACGTACAACACAATGCATAGGCAACAAGACACGCAGCAACAGCAGCGTTGGCAGAGGCAGTGTCCACGCAAACGCCATGCAAGGAGCAAGCAAAGCAGCAACAGCAACAAGTACACGAGCAGCAAGCAAAGCAACAGCAGTACCTGTTCCGAGGGGTTGTGTGAGGGGAAGCTGACACGCAAGCATCACGGCATCTTCTTCTCCGTCGTCACTCGTTGAGAAACAAGCCGAGGAAGGCCAGTGCCAGCCCACGCACTGGGATGCAACCTCAATCTGTTGCCGACACAAGCAACGAATATGAGCGAAAGTGCCGAGTGGTGAGAAGGTATATAACGCGGAGAATGGAGGCAGAGTGTATGCACAAACAGACCGTGCACATGCGTGTGACGCGCATATCACACACATACTAAGTACATGCACATTCACACACACACATTCACACACACATTCACACACACACACATTCACACACACACTCACACACATTCACACACACACATTCACACACACACACACACACACACACAAACCTTGAGGGCAACGTGCGTGCGTTGATCTGTGGGAGCAAGGGGAAATGTGACGTCAAGACGACAGGCACAGCCAGCAATACACGTAATCACGCGGGTCTAGGCAGGCGTGGAAGCGATGAAGGAAGTGGGATGGGGTTTGTTGGTGATGTATGCGTGCGTGCGTGTGTGTGTGTGTGTGTGTGTGTGTGTGTGTGTGTGTGTGTGTGTGTGTGTGTGTGTGTGTGTGTGTGTGTGTGTGTGTGTGTGTGTGTGTGTGTGTGTGTGTGAATGTATATATATATTCTGTGAGAGATATGCGCGTACGACGCGTGCGCGCGCGCTGTGTGGGGAAGGACTCAGAGAGTCCGCACGCACGCGCGCGTGCGAGTTTTTTTTTTCTTTTCACATATATATTT